TCTCTCTCTTTCTTTTTTTACCATTATAGTGTTTGTGAAACTCAAGTCCTTTACTATGGAAGTAAAGACCATAGAAGATGAAAGTCAACATTTACTGAGTGCATAATAGGAGGTGAGCACCATGCCAAGCACTTTCAGACATTGTTGGGGCTTAATCCTAGTAAGTGGAGATCACCATCCGTATCTGCAACTGCAACACTGAGGCTCAGGGAGGTTAAATGACTTGTCTAAGTTTGAACAGGACACCACAGTAACCCAAGCCTGATGCCAGAACTCATGCCCTTCCCATCCATATTCTAAAAGATATGTTTATTTATTTTGTGGATTTATTTTGATTGAATCTGATGAAGTGACAGAGAAATATAAAATACTGAGAACAGACTAAATGAATAGAATAGAGGGCCCAGAAAGAGACCATATATATTGCCACAAAGATTGCAGAGGACTTACCCTCTCAATAAATATTGCAAGAAAGAAAAAAACACTTCTACCTCACATCATATACCCAAATCAATTCCAGATGGAAAAAAAAAACAACAGAACTTTTAGGAGAAAATACAGCATGCTCTTTTTATGACTTTTCTAGAGAAAAAATTTTCTTAAAATTATTTTATTCTATTTCTTGACTATAGTGGTAATTACTTACAGTAACTGGTTATATTATACACTTACATTTATGTACTTTTCTGCATTATGTTTAGCAATGAGAATAATTAAAATTGAGAGAGAAAATGAAAATATTAAACGCAAACATTTTGGAATTAAAATTATACACAATTTAAAAACTACTCAGATGGGAGGGGGAGGGGAGCTGGGTGGAAAAAGTGAAGGGATTTTTTGTGAAGGGAAAAGAATCCTCATAGACAAGACAACAGTGTGGTGATTATCAGAGGGGAAGGGAGGGGGTAGAAGAGGGTGAAGGGGCATAAATGGTGTCGGAAAGAGAACTGATTGGGGTGGTGAACACACAATATACAGAGAATGTATTACAGAACTGTACTCCTGAAACCTACATAATTTTATTAACCAATGTCACCCAATACATTTAAAAAAACCACCAACTTCCAAAAACAAAAGAAAATGACCTACTGGCTTCTGAAGTACAATGGGATGATCAGGCAGAAAGTCTGGCTTTTTCCTGCAGATGGAAACACTTGAGAGCTTCAACAGGAAATCTCTGCTGTATTTAATTCTCTCTGTAGATATTACACATCAAGTGTAATGTTATAAAACACAGAACTCTCCCAGATCACTTTTCAGCTCAATGCTCTCTGGATGTCCCTTAATTGTGCATTGTTTTACAAAATAAGTAGTTACTATGCAAAAAAGCAGGGTGTGGGGGGAGCTTGCCTCCAATTTTCCTTTTATAAGAAAAGAAAGCCAAGTAACCAAGGAAACATGGACGACACAGACTGCTTCAGAGGTGGAGACACACAGCTTCTTTCATGTGACCCTGTGTTATGAAGTGTAACAGCAGTAACACCTACTGGGCAAGTCAGAGCCTGCCAAAATGGAACCCTAATAAGCCTATCTAATCTTTATGTTAATGTACTGGACATGTAATACAATCAAAATAAATTCAAGAAACATTTATTACACACCTACTGTTACCGTGGGCTGTGTTAGATAACGGTGAACAAAATCCAAGACAGGATCCATCCTTCAAGGGGAACAACTCAAGTATCTGCAAATTTCTCATCGGAAAGTATCACCAAGACAGACCTGGTCCAGAAACAGTGGAGCAGTATCTTCAAAGTGCCACCTGACACAGAGTTCCAACCCCCTTGGAATTTCCTAGGGGATAGAAATGTCTTATATTCTAACAGGGTGGCTCTTGGTGGGCTCCTGGATGGGGGCTGGCTGGTCACCAGAAAGACCGAGCCATGATTAGAACCTTCGAACCTTCAGCCCCTCCTCCCCATTCTGACAAAGGGAGAGGGGCTAGAAATAGCGTTAATGACTGATCATGCCTATATGATGAAGCCTCCATAAAATCCCCAAAATTCAGGATGCGGTGAGCTTCCAGGTTGGTGAACACATGTATGTACCAGGAGGGTGGGGCATTGCAACTCCACAGTCGGGACCCTTCCAGACCCTCTTCTTTTGGCCGTTCAACTGTATCCTTTATCATATTATTATATAATAAACTGGCAAATGCGATTCAGTGTTTAAATCCTGTGAGCTCTTCTAGCAAATGACTGAATCCAAGGAGGGGGTCTTGAGAACCTACAATTTGTAGCCAAGGTAGATAAATGTTCTGGGTAATCTGGGGACTTACCACTTGCAAGTATTTTCAGAAGTGGAGGGTTCTTTTGTGGGACTAAGCCCTTCACCTGTGGCATCTACAGTTATTGTCAAGATTGGACTGAATTATAAGACACCCAGATGGTATGGCAAAAAATTGCTTGATATATGGGAAAACCACACATCTGCAACAGAAGTGAAGTGTGAGTACAGGAGAACATTGAGAGTAGAGAAACACAGGAGTGTAGTGTTTTCCCCTGCACACATCCAATGGGAAAAAACCTTCCAGGATGCCATGAAGTTCAAAATTTTACATGACAAAAGATACTGATATAAGTTAAGCCATTGTTGTTATGGTCTCACCTTTAGAGCAGTCAAACCTACAGCCTCACTAATATGGACAGAAATCAACCAAAAGAATATAATAAAAATTTTGTGTGCATAAGGTTTGCAGCTAAGGAAATATTAACTCCACATAAATGCTAACACTCTCTTTTGAAATCTGGGAATTATAATAAAAATTTACCTTTTTTAATTGGAGACTGATGTTGCTGTTGCTCACTGAGACCTTGAGAAAAGGCTTGCATTCCATTTGTCTTACACTGTTGAAAGAAGAAAATATACTTTTAAATTAAGGCATACAAATTTTATAAAACCCTTCTTCTACCATTCAAAAATATTCTCCTAAATAATCAAGGTATTACTTAAGGCATATTTTTTGGCTAAAGGATAAGCAATGCCATAGGTATACTTATTAGATAAGCAACAAAACTATCTTTCAAAATATATTCACATATATCTATAGTTTTGTCATGATTATAATTATTTTTGAAAGGGAACATAAAACCGGAGACGAAGAAAATGATCCTAAAGATAAATAATTCTAAAGAATTAAAAAGAGATTTTAGCCCTGGCTGGGTGGCTCAGTTGGTTGGAGCCTTGTGCCATATACCTAAATGTTGTGGGTTCGATTCCCGGTTGGGGCCAGTATGGGAGGCAACCAATCAATGTTTCTCTCTCTCTCCCCTCCTTCCTCTCTCTCTAAAATCAATTAAAACATATCCTTGAGTGAGGATTAAAAGTGGTTTTTAATTCACGAATACGTATTTATTCACAAAAGTCTGCAGTACTCCTACTAGAGTACTTATTTTTTTGATCTTATGTAAAGTAGACCCTTGATGTCAGTTCACAGGCATATAAACTGTCCACACACCACCTTAGATGTGAGGGAAACAAGAACACACTGCTTCACCTGACGAAGCAGAGAGAAGGCAGCACTGGCAGAGGTCGGTGTCCTGACCGGGAGGCCTGAGCCAGCTTTTCAGATCTACTGCAGGACCATCTTTATTATGAGATGGGCAAATCTAATCTGATTTAAAAATTTTTTAATGTTAACTCCTCTTCTGATTACATACTCACCAAGAAATATTCTTATTCAATTTAACTTTCCATATATCTCCCGAGAGAAGATAATACAAGAGTAGAACCAATAAGAGAACCTCAGAATACAAGGCAGCTATATTTGTCATTATAAAGTAATGGGTTTTCTGACTTATAAGTTAGTTTCACATACTTGGTCAGTACAATCTACCACTAAGAGATGATCTTCCTTTATGGTAACGGAAATGAATTTGCAAACAACAGGCTAGACACTGGACCATGGTAATTCCTGAAGGTAGGTTTCTTTGGAGACCTCTATCCTTAAAAATAAATATCTCTGCTCTATCAATCGCTGTATTAGTAAGTTGTATCCCATTCCTAAAATATCTCCAAATTCTACGATGATAACTCTGCCTAAAGTCAGAATATTAATTATATAACCCTATGACACAATGAGGAGTAATGCGGTAATTCTACATTACTGAGACCTCAGAATAAGTCATCAGAAAAAAATAAAATTTTAACAATGCCAAAGATTTGGTTTTACAAAGTTCTTATTGACTGCAAGATTTTATAAACTATAACAATCTACTTCTGGAAGCATCTAGATAAGAAACCGGTACAGTGGCTACTTCTGGTCAGAGGAAATAGATGAGCGGGGGATAGAGATTGGAGGGAAACTTTTCACTAAAGGCCATTCTGTCTGTTTTAAATTTTCACCTTTGTGATTATTTTAGTAAAAAAAAAAAAAAGAATTTAAAAAATACAAACTTAAATTTTAAAAAAAAGTGGGTACAATGCTATTTATATAAAATTATTTTAAAAATTCTATTTGTTGTAGCAAAAGTACTGATATAATCATGGAAACAGTGACACTGAGGCAGCTCTCAGAGAAGGAAATGGGTTGGTGGAGGGATATATGGAGGCTTTAACTATAGCTGCGAGGTCCTTAAAATTTTCTAAAACAAATACAGCAAAATGTTTAGATTTGAAAATGCCAGGCAACAGATATAATGAGTGCTTTACTCTTTTAAATATATGCTTGAAATACAGTTTTAAAAAGCATTTAAGCACTTAGCAAAGTAGCTGGCACATGACAGCCATCCGACACATGTTCCTTTCCGTCTGCAACCCTTCATGTTACTGTAATTTCTAAGACTCACTCGGCTAACTCCACCTTGTAAGTACTGAGTGCTGCATGGATATTCACTTTGGAAGTTGAAAGGGAATACTGCTCCTGTTAGGAGAGAAAATGAAAATGATTTAAATATCCATGTTTTCAATAAATGATATATCACCTAAAATCCTTAATTATCCAGGATATTCTAAGCACTGTTTTAAGGTGTTTCCTGATAGTTCACTTATTCAACACTATGACATGTCATCCACTGTGATAGGTATATAAGTGTGAAAGAGTTCAGAGATAAAAGAGTTCACAGTCTATTTTAAAGCACAAGCTCATAAGTAATGACAATAAAAAATAAGTTATATGAGATACGCAGTGATCACAATCACAGGGCACAATTTGAATTGAACCATTTTGCACAGAAGCCAGTTAACCATAAAAATTAGTCATAAAAAATACACAAAGCTGCTCTCACATCAGAGCTGTTATTCCTACCTTTGTGGGTCTGGAAGATGATTGAGAATCCTTCCCTTTGGTAATACTTTAAAATTCTTCTGAGGAGATCATCAGTTTTCATTATTTCTTTAATATCCACCATAAACAGTTACTTTATGTATAATTTAGTCTTTTAAATGCTTAGTACCCATTAACCAATTAATATTAAAGATGTGCACCCAAGATTACTCACCAGAGGGAGAAGTCAGGTGACGAACAGGTCTTGCTGGTTGAAGCGATTTGCCAATTAATTTTTTGGTTTCCATTATCACAAAGACCGTGAGGTTCCATACTTTAGGAGGGAAATGGACACTTTTATCTTTTGGACAGATAACCAAGATGCTTTAACGTACATACAAGTAGCGACGACATTCATTTGAAGACAGCTATTTTATAAGTTAAGGTGAAAACACAGAGCAGCATTTCAAACAATATACAACAATTTTAGACCCCTTTACAGTACGTGTCACAACAGAACATTCCCTCTTTACAACATTTTTCTTCCTTAACTTCCCTCTTTTCTTTTGGTTTATTTACTATTTCTTTAATTGCCTCTCCTAGTTTCCTCAGCTGATTCCTCTTTACTCCAACGAAAGGAGAATTCTTCCAAATTTGGCTTTGGTTCTTTTAGCAACCTCACCTATTCTCATGATTGCAAATATCTACCTACATGATAAGTACATATTCAAGATCTATCCCTCTTTTAAATTCGTTCATTTTTCTAATTGTCCAAAGATATTTCCATTTATGTCTTATCACACACACCTCAAATTTAACATATCCCAAATCAAATTTATGACTTTGACTCCAAAGATGTCCCTCCTCCTATATTCCTTAAAGTCATCACCAACTCCCTCAGACCACTTTTGGTTAAAGACACTTTCGACTGGTCATTCTAATTTACAGCCCCCGCACCATAATCAGTCTCAAATTCCTGTCCACCGTACTTCCAAAATCTCTCTCAAGTCTATTCTCTTTACACTCACCACTATTCCTTCAGTTCCACAGTTCTTAATTCATCTCCCTAACCACCGTGTCTGACTGAAATACTCCCTCATCCTATGTTGCTGAGACACAGTGTCTATCAATTTTTCTAAAATTTAGCACAGTAAACCTATTACAGTCACACCTCCGAGATACGGCAGTTTCAATTCCAGACGACCATGATAAAGTGAGAATTTTGGTAAAGCAGTGAATGAGTCCTAGTCTTTTTGCTGGTGGAGGGTCTTGCCTTCCATTTGTGAAAAACACTTGAGAAATGCAATAAAAGGAGGAATGCCTGAACATGCCTATTTGATTAGACTGAGTTAGCTGAAGCCAAAAAAACTAGACCTTATTTATCTTTGTATCCTAATACCTGCACCATAATTAGTTTTACTACATAAATCTATAAATTTATTTATTTATTTTTATTTTTAAAAAATATATCTTTATTGATTTCAGAGAGAGGAAAGGAGAGGGAGAGAGAGAGATAGAAACATCAGCGACGAGAGAGTCATTGATCGGCTCCAGCCCGCAACCCGGGCATGTGCCCTGACCGGGAATCGAACCCTGATCGCCTGGATCCTAGGTCGATGCTCAACCACTGAGCCACGCCCGGCCGGGCTACATAAATCTATAAATTTAAATACCTCAAATATGACTAAAATCTTTTGATGCCTGACTGGGATATAGGTTTTCAAATTGTGATGCCTATCAAGACAACGTCAAAGGTAAAAGTCCACCTGACTTCACACTGGCTCATCCAGAAACAATCATAGCCATGTGCTTGTAAGCCGATCAGCCTAGCATTGGGTTAATAACTGCCTTTTGGCTCCAAAGAAATGCTTTCGTATATTTTTAAGTGGCTTTGGACGTAATTCAAATGTTAAAATCATAAACTTATAAACAACCTCTCAAAGTTACCAATGATAAATAAGTGCAAAATAGTTAATATTTCCCTGAAGTTTAGAGTAAACAAGCCAGTCAGTACTCCAAGTTAATATGACTATATTAACTATCTAGCTTCGTATGTAATGTGTCTGTTAACTGGTATTTCACCATGGCTATTAATAACCTTCAAAACAAAGCTATTGTTGTCTGTATTTGCTGGCAAAACAACTTTGGTATAACAGGAAACAAAAACAAGTTATGAACATATGTAGCAAAAAGTATTTCAAATATTTATTGAATATTTTCTATGTGGAAGGAAATACTTAAAGTGAGGACCGAAAAGCAATCTAATATTGCATAATTTAATGTTCATCCTAGACATTTTAGTTGGGACCCTAATACTACTCTGTAGTAATGTTCCATCCTGTTTCCCATATGAAACAGATGAATCAGAACACAACAGGGTACTCTGACACACGCTGTCCTGGTTCTCATGGCTCAGCTGAAACTGAGTTGGTAGGTTGTCAAGTCTTTTTTCAGTTGGCTTAGCAATGCAAATCCACAGTATTCAAACGAAGGACTGTCAGAAGTTGGGGAATTACAGAGCTATTAATATAATTTGACAACACACATAAATAAACAAAAAATAAAAGAACTTTTAGTACCACCTACCCTTTCAATTTGTAGTAGGAAAAGGCTCCAGACATAGACATCCACAACAGTTAAGGAAATTAGAAAAGATGGTGCCATAGATATGCTGACATTTATGGGGCACAGTTTAGGGTGCACACTGCATAAGAGTATGATATCTTACACAGTGTTATTAATGGAAAAAGCAAGTATTTATAAGTAATTCTTTTTTAAAAAAATATATCTTTATTGAGTTCAGAGAGAGGAAAGGAGAGGGAGAGGGAGAGAAACATCAATGATGAGAGAGTCATTGATCGAGCCCACAACCCGGGCATGTGCCATGACCGGGAATGGAACCCCCATCGCCTGGCTCCTAGGTCAACGCCCAACCGCTGAGCCACGCCCTGGACGGGCAAGTAATTCCTACTGTAAAAGTGATCCACAGGATCGTAATCTATGAAGGACAGGACTCCACAAACCAAAGCCTAGTTCTCAGCTTACGTTAAAAATAATAAAGACTTAACTGAACTACGAAGTCAGTACATAAAATAACTTCAGCTTTAAGCTCTGGGGCCTGCTCCACTCACTGAATGCAGAGTTCCAAAAGTTTCTTGAGACTGGAGGGTAGGCATTGAAATCAAGTTAACAAAGGACAACAGTTGCAAAAGAAACAGAATCTACCTACAACATCAGGTGTGGAGTAGTGAACTTCATAACGTTCGTTCACAGGTGGGGCAAAAGTAGCTTTACAGTTGTGAGTAGAGGAAACAGTTTATTCTTGTATTATTACTTATTGTATTATTTTCCATACCAACTGTAAACCTGCTTTTGCCCCACCCTGTATAGTACTCTTTTTAGATTAAAATCCCGGTTTTTGAGGTTAGCATGTTATTACATGCTAAATGTTTTACATATTATTATCTCTAAGTTTGAGCTATACAGTAAGTGTTATAGAAAATCATTACTTCACAGAAGACTCAGAAAAATAAGCCACACGCTCAAGTTCACCTAGTTAATAACTGGTACAAACGCCCTCCAGCCCTGGCCGGGGTGCACCGGTTAGAGCTTGTCCGCATCAGCCCCGGTTGCGCCCCGGGCAGGGCGCGGCAGGAATGGGGGGGGGNGGCGCGGGCACAGCCGGACAGCAAAGTGGGCCCCTGCCCCCCGTCCGTCTAAAACCCAATCCATAGGTCTTTAAATGAAAGAAATAGGCCGAGATAAATGAAAAGACCAGGCTTTCCGACGTCATGTTTGTGTCCCACATAACCAATTACGACGTAATCTTTTCCACCGCAGAACAGCACTTTTGCCAAGGCAGGGTCCCCGGGCTGGCAGCAGCAGCGGGCAGCCTCCGGCCGGGCGCCGCCGCACAGCCCATGGCA